TTTCGGCTACCATCAGCTTTTGTCCGGTCGATCTTCTATTCCTTGCCCCTCTGTAAGGAGACCAGGTTTTGTCCTCTGGTCCTTGGTAAGCTTTTTACAGGTTCGCAAGGGTTTGGTGGAATTCAAATTGGGTGGAGCGGTAAGCAACAGGGACCCACCGAACAACCAGCATTGAATGTAATGAAATGCCTGTTTCTCACAAAACCCCAGTGGCTCCCTGAAGCTATTTCGCTGAGATAACTGCCCTATGTGATCCACTATACTGGGTCACATCAGTCGCAGTAGCCAGAACCGGAGAGCAGAGCCAGAACGTTGCCCCAGGGACGTTAGAAAGAACTTTTTCAGTGTCAGAGAAGTTAACAGATGGAATGTATTACATGAAACTGGACATGAGGGTACCGTTCTAGTTTATGATTAATTATTAAATAATGAGCTAGAAATTAGGGAATTTCTCGCAAGCTTTATACTCTGCTTCCTTTCCCTGGGAAGACCATTACATCTAGTGGTTGTCAAGATAAATGCAGATAAATACGGGCTTACGAGGTGCCAGTGCTTATAGCCACCGCTCTCACTGTCTTTGGTTAGAATCTCCAGGGGTACACTTTGTCATGGTGTGTTTGTCAATTATCAGATGTTGACAGCCATCAGGCAAAACAGACAGCATCTAGCACAGTCACTCAACGTGTTTGCATCTGTGCGTATATATGTGTATGTGCTTTGTTTCTTCCTGTAACTGTGCCTATACATTGTATCCCATTTAGTCATTGTATCACAGTCGACTTGAGAATGGTCCAGGACGGACCGAAACGTCGTCGTCCCTTCACCTTCTAGTATGTGGTCTGGTCAAACTATCCCATTTAGGTTGTGGCTGTGCAGTCGTAGTTACCCCAAGACCCGAGGGAAAGTGGGCGTGTGCGGTACAGCTGATTCTGTGGTCGAAGCTTTAACTGTGCCACCAGCACTGCTGTCATTGTGAGTGTAGCACAACAGAAGGTGGCGAATGAAATAACGCGGCTGAGCAGGTAGTGTGGCGGCAGAATGAGAAAGAGGAGCCAATGATCAATGATGAGCTGGAGAATGGCGCCCACAGCCACCAGCACCAGTACTCGTCGTGGTGTGTTGTGCTGTCGGACATTACATTAAACACATTATAGAATTAATTACACTCGGTAAATTATGTACAAATATCTATATATATGCTCTTGATTAAGAGATTGTGGAAATTAATGATTCATCAAGGGAACTCAATAATGAAACAAATATATGTTGTTTTGCATAAAAGCTGACAATAATACTTTAATAATGAATCCAGCAATTGTTAAAAAGAAAAAGAAAACAGCAAAAATTAATTTACCACTAAAGAAACAATGAAACCTGTATGGCTCGATAGCGATCGGAAATCAAGAACTGAACTGAATAATGATGCCACCGCTGCCCACTGGATGGCATCGTCATATAGATGGGGCATCGTCATAAAAACCGTTAATTAAATTTTTCCTCGTAACCTAACAGCCTAAGCTAGAGGACCCAAAACAGCAGGACAGTAAGTCACTTTCGTGAGCCGATTTCATTTGTTATTACGTCGATTTTTAGCCTGAGTGCGCATACGAGCGAAAAGCGACGTAATTTGTAATGGACGGGTTGGGCACTTCCGGCGCTCGTCATGGGTCCCTAAGATGAGGGAGCTTATTTCTTTTGTGATACTGTACATAAAAAAGACTAATTAATTATTTATATGATAACAGCATTTCATAAAGAAATTACTTGGTTATGTTGAAATTTACTAATGAATTAAAATCTAACTTGATATCGATTTCTGATATATATGGAGATAGTAAACGCGGTCTTTAATATTTCGATAGTATTAACAAAACAGATATTCCATAAAACTGCATTATTCCATGAATACAATGTCTTCTTTAATTACAATTTTTAAATGAGAGTATTTGGACCGATGTGTTTAAATAACGACAACTTGAGCGCCAATATAGATAGCAAGAGCATCCGGTATATATATTTTTTTTTTAAATACACGACATATATCTGAAATATTATTCTGACAAAACAGAATTTTACATATTATGTTCTCTAGTGTAAAAGATTGGTGTGCAAATTATGATATAATTTAATATTTTATGTTCAACTTAAGCAGATGCCGGCAGAGACGACGCCACGCGCCATTTAATAAACATACCCGCAGGAGACTAGAAAGTTGGGCCCCACTTGCTAGCATACTCACCCTGACCCACAGTAAGCTGGGGCTAGAGGGGCGGTAAGTGAGGAGTCTTGGAGCCCAAGCAAGCAGCAGAGACACCATGAGCGCCGTCGTCAGCACCGTGAGGCGGGTGAGGAGGGGCGGCGAGGTCTCCGTGTGCACAATGTTGTCACACCAAGGGTCATATACACACTTCCACGATGGCAGCCGACTCATCTGAGGAACAACACGCACTCTCAGTCCGTATCTGGTCAGATTCTAAGGAGGAGTCTGGTATAAGGCTCTTCATGTTTAGTGAAGCTCTTACTCTATGTAAGTCTATGTCTGGTAAAGTTCTTAGTTCATGTCTAGTGAAGCTCTTTATCAATGTCTAGTAAAGCTCTTAGTCCATTCTGGTAAAGCTTCTAGTCCGTGTCTGGTAAATATCTTGGTTTGTCTGGCTGATTGAGTCTGTTTCATAAGGGAGCTACATTTTTAGGTCTGTATTTGTACGGTGTGCCTTCATATATTTAATCTGATTCGGGGAATGTCAAAATACATAATATATGCTATTCATTTATTGTGCAATGTTCGTTGTTTATAATACTGTGGAGGGAGCCATATTTAAGTAGCCCGCTGCCGGGAGCATTCCCTCCTTAAGGTTATACCCGAGGGTGGATGGCTGGGCCGCCCCCCGGGGCAACACGCCCCCGACACACCAGCCGCCTCTGCTGGCGACACCACCTTGACAACCCTACTGGATGTTTGGCCCTGTATCTACCTGCTGGCTGTAATTGGAGGCCTACCTGTATTGCCTGCCTCTTATCATCCCCTATCTACCTCCGAAGCCTAGACTCGCTTCTACTTCTACACTCAGAAGACTACAGACTTAAGGTGAATCTGTCATTTCTATAACCCTTATGGTCACATGTGTTGTGCCCACCATACCTAGTGCGTGGCCACTATAAGACATTCATTTAGGAAGAGTTACACATCTTATGGGCTATTCATGCCCGTGCCACCTTTTGTGTGTGGCCTAATCTTTATCAATCAGAGTTACAGGTCAGAACAAGCCAAAGTTAGTATTAATTCATAAATTAATTCTACAGCTTTCTGTCGGGGACAGAAAGCTGTGTATATCTATAAACTTTAGACTTGTATCGATGTCCCTCCAAAGTCGAAATATTAATTCTCCCTAGGATGTAACTCCATAACAGATGAATAACTTCCGAATACATATTCCAACCATTTCTGTCCCTCCCGGGATTCAAACCAGGGATTCCCAATTGAGTCAAAGTGTAAAAACACAAAATAATGTTTGGAATGTGTGCATGATCAACATGTTTTGTGATTTGAACGTGAAACTTATTCAGTCAGGTGTCAAATGGAGCCCCAAGCCGGTGTCATGGCTGGAGTGAAGCTCTCGTTTCGTACCAGATACCCACTAAAACCACTACCATGTGTGTGTCATTTTAAATAAAGCTCTCTGTCGGTGTCCAGTGAAGCTTTCAGTCCCTGTTAAGTGCCAATTAAATCTCCCAGTCCATATCATATCACTTAATTATGCCGTTTACGGTGACCAGAAAAGTAGTTCGACATGGCATTTGTAGTTTTCATTCCACATCAATTGTTCCTACCGTACGACATGCCAAATTTAGCTCAGTTTGTCAGATGTTAGTTGAAATTTGTAGTTTGTGACTAGGTTTGTGTCCACCTAGAGTTTAAAAAGAATTGTTTAAAGTAAAGCACTTAGTCGATTTGCGCCAAGTGAGACATGTATGTTAAGTGATGCAGCCGGTGTCACCTACCATGGCGTGGGTAAGAGAAGGCACCATGCACCACCTGTCATCCCTGACAGAGACACGGCACATGTAAGGCGACCTGAACTTGTCGACGAGCCAGGCACGCGTCCAGGACTCCACAGCCTCCTGCACCACACATACCGCCCACAGCCGACACACCCACCTCCGCACCGACTCCGTACGCTGCATATAAAATTTAATTAGTCATTATTCCTCTAAAACAATATGGAAAATTATATGTAGTAAAAGTGACATACCTCCGTAGCTCCCGTATAGGGGGGGGGGGGGAGAGGTAATATCGTACCGGTCAGACGCTCACTTGATCATTATTGCTTTGATCGACAGTTCAGCAGTGTTGTGCTTGTTACAGGTTGGTAAAATGCTAAATTCTAGCTTACTTTCTGTTTGACCTAGCTTATTCATGGGCAGTTTGCTTACTGTTATAATGAATAGACCGTATATACTGTATGTATGTATTATATAGCACTTGGCTTGTCTTATTGCAGGTATAGACGTATGGATGACAACCCATCATCAAAACAAATGACTGCGAGGTTCACAACATGTAAGTCATTTACTAACAGCGAAAGATCTACACAAGTCAGTATTTAGACATATCCACCTAGCGATTTTCGAGACTATGACTTAAAACGTGCTTCATTCACTTCCAGCCTGTATTGTAACACTCCCTAAATCAAAGTAACCAAAACACTTAACCTAATGTGGTCGTCGAAATCTAGTATTGGCAGTTTCTTATATGTAGCCGTTTTAAAAAAAGTTGAGTTATGCTGATTTCTCAGCCATAATGGTATCTCATATGAGCGTGCGGACCCAGCCGTTGAGTAGGCTAACTGCACTTGTCCTATTTCCAGAAAAGGCATTCCTTATTCAGATTTTTACCCTGTCATTCATTCCTTGATCCGTGTCTGGTGGCAGGATCGTTGGTCTTGTTACTGGCAAACTGCGTGCTCCTAAAGGTAGTGTGTCCCTTGGCTTTCCTCCTACCACGGTGTAAACGGCTCTGGCGAGGTTACCTATTCGCCATGCACGTTTAACACACGGGCACTTAATGGAAGTGAGCCCTGATCCTTATTGTCCGAATTGCTTTGTCCCTCTTACAGTCTTCATCTTCTTGTTGAATGTCCCGATTTTAAGGACGTTCCTGTCTCTTGCTTCTCAGCTGTCTTTCGTGGTCATTTGTCCCTTGGTAGAATCCTTGGTGAATCAAATTCCTTTGATATTGTTCGCCTTGTGCCCTTTTGGTTTTGTATTCGCATCATTTATTTTTCTTAAAGTTAAAGGTTCGTCTAATTATTCCTTAGGTTCGTTTGGATTTGTGTAGTGCATCTCATGCTTTTTACATCATTAGACATTACTGATAAGGTCAGCTAGACAATTAGCAGTAAATATATACCTGAGATTAACCGTGAATTAACTATTCCAGAGCAAAGGTCTGCCATCCCAGCAGGACATATGAACACAGTATTCTCAGTACAGCAGTCAAAATTTAATTTTGGTCTGATTATTTGTTGCTAGTTGCTGTATGTTTCATGCTTTTATAAGCATTTGTAAATTTACGATTATTACATTTTTGTATTAGTCTACTCAAATTATTACAAAACAATATTTCAGTACTATAATGCCTTTAAGATGATGCTAACACACATTGATCTGCAATTTAGTCTATATATTTTTTCTGTTATCTGTACATAAACTGCTGACCATGGCAAGACAAAACACGAGCCTCAGATATGCAAATTGTAAGCGGATATTTTTACTTCAAATTATAAGGGCACTAGATGACTTTCTAGTGATTGGGATATTTACATTCACTAGGCCGGGTATCCGGTGTCAGGGATAGTCTTTTTCCCTCTCTTCCCTCCCCCTACCCCTTCTTATCACCCTCCCCCTTCATATCCCCCTTCCCCTCTTCCCATTTCCCCGACGCTCTTCTCTCATCCACTTCTGGCCTCCAACCGCGGATAGACAGACATTTCCATTTAATACTGAATTGACGTTCATCACTTTTAGTGAAGAAACCTACTGATTAGTTAGTTACCTTTCACCAGTTTTGTTGGGAAGGAAGGTGGGGGGGGGGGTCACTATTGAACTTTACCTTCTGTTAATAGGGCCGACCCCGACATGCTTATGTCTGTCCTGTATTTCAGACCATTCGCCCTGCAAAGTTGGGCGAGGCTAGCTAGCCCCAAGCGTCCGGCCTCTAACCTCGTTTAGAGAAACCGACAAACTTTCTCATTGATATAGGTTATATCCAAAATATTAAAGTACTGTAATGATTGGCAATTTTCACCCAAACATTTTATCACTTGTCATAATTTATGACACAAGTCTTAATTTAAAGGTGTTAGACTTGTATAAATATAGTGATTACTGTAATTGTTTTCTTGTAGTTTTTAAAGGCCACAGCCTAGCAATGGTAGGACATCTAACATGCACTATACTGAATTTAACCCCACCTAACCTAACCTAACCTACCCTACCCTGCCATACCCTGTCCTTCCCTACCCTACCCTACCCTACCCTACCCTACCCTGCCATACCCTGTCCTTCCCTACCCTACCCTACCCTACCCTACCCTACCCTGCCATACCCTGTCCTACCCTACCCTACCGAAAGGAAGGTAGAAATAACCTAAGCTACTCAATCCCTATGAATCAGGGTTGATGAGATTATTGTCTCCATAAACGAACTTGAACCTACCGATACATAGAAAACGTGAATATTTGTGAACCGCTACTTTTCATAGAACTTTGTAATTTGTACGGTAGAGAGAGACGCATGCAAAATGAGACGTGTTAGTTAAGAGGACTGGTTGGAAAACTGAGACATCGATTACATTACCTGAGCCATCGTGTGTTGTTGGCACTCTTTGTTTTGACAACGATTGCTTCAATCACTTCCCTGCATGAAAGCAGTCTATCTGCACCGTCAATTTTTTACTGTGATGTTTGATATTTTGATAAACGAAAACATGTCCCGCAAGTTTGAATTAACTTTCACCATTCTAATTGTATATTTCACCTCAATACATAACATAAGGAATTTGTTATATGAAGTCTCGATCCACACTGCGGACGACGCTCCGGGTATGGGTGGAGTGTGATGGCGAACCTCCAGCAGCTCTCGCGCCGTCCGCTGCTTATCTTATCTCACACGACGCTTATCACACATACCTTGTTATATGTTCACAGTGGTTCGTAATGATACATTTTCTGAGAGAAGGGAAAGGGTAGAACGATGGGAGGGATGAAAGGGGAACCAAAGGGGAATGTAGTGAAGAGGGGGAAACTGTAAAGCGGGGAAGAAGAGACCCGGGTGCAGCGGGGTTCTCTTAGTAAATCGTGAAAGAATAATAAAGATAACTGCTAGCACTGAAACAATACTCATAACTTGAACCCAGGAACACTCTCCGAGTTACCATCACATTGTACACACCGTTTCCTGTTCAGTTTGCTTCCTAAGTGTAAGAACTGCTGTTAACCTTAGGTTAGACTGGATTAGGCAATAATTGGTTAAGTTAGGAAGGTATTTAAATGTGTTGGACCATTCCAAAAGGCCAGGGATCTTTGCCAGGAGATAAGGCAACAATAACCTTGGGGGCCAAGAAAGTATGACCTTGTAAACCACTGTATGGATGTAATATATTGCGTTCACCTAACACTCTGAGAGACAAACCCATGCTCTAGGTAGCCAGCAGAAGCTCTACCATGATGTTGTGGTAACTAGCAAACCCAGTAACTTACACTTTGTTGGGAATAACTTGTAGTCCACTGACACGTACAAGTTTTCCTTGGCAGCGGCTGCTTCAGTTGGGTCACTTCTTTAACTTCACAGCCAATTTGATAATTGTTGGGGTAGCTAGAGTACTCGGCAACATGATCCCGTGATAATTGATAGATCCAGATGTTACTGATAGATTCTTTCTTTCTCAAAAAGTTCTCTTAAGTTCTTTCTCGAAACTGTTCTTTCTGTGTAATAGTGGCTTTGTGTAACTCCTGTCCTTATAATTATGTATTACTCTTATGTTCTTTGTATACACATTCTTTGAATAAATATGATTTATTATTATTTAGAGTATGTGATGGTAATTAGCTTGCTGATTCTCATTCCCCCGAGCAGTTTTATTTTAAATACATAACAATAGGCTATGGGCAATTTGTATATTTAGCTGACAAAGAGTAGCCGTAGTCTAAACATGTGCTACGTCAACGACTTCTTTATCCTGACAGAATTCAACTCAAGAATAGAAACATCAGCGCCACCATTATCCAGAAAATTCATTATTGATTGTATGGCTCAGTGCAAGGATAGTTAACATTTTGTTTCCATAGTATCAAGTGATTAATAGACACATATATACAAATTTGAATATTGTTAGTCATGTAAATTGAGTAATTTAAAGAAATCCTCACAACATGAGTACATTCAGGCAAGTTAATCGTGAATTACGTCTTACTGGGATTCTCTTGTGTTGTAAATTAATTTGTACAAGTCTAATAACTAGAACGCATTATTTGGACTAGTGAACAAGGCTCAATTTGCCTTATAGGCAAAGTGATTTTTGTTATTAAACAAAATATTCTAATTGGTTTATTATAATAATTTTTTTATATTAATAGGATGAATTACTGACTTCAGTAAATATATATATATATATATATATATATATATATATATATATATATATATATATATATATATATATATATATATATATTTATATATGTATATTTATATATATATATATTATATATATATATATATATATATATATATATATATATATATATATATATATATATATATATATATATATATATATATATATTATATATATATATATTTATATATGTATATATATATATATACATATATAAATATATATATGTATATATATATATTTATATATGGTTGTATACATATATATGGTTGTATACTTAACTCTCGTGTTTAGGAGAGTTGTGCCTTAAGCATAGACACTGTGTCTTCCCATATTAACAGGGACTTGATGAAATTAACGTCTAAATGACCCCTCACTTGCTCTAGTGCTCTTGGGAGGTGGTGATCTTTGGTGTATTTAAATACTCCGAAATTACCATCTCTTTTAAGGGTCTGAGCGGGTGGTGGAGCGGGTTAAGGCGTACCTGTTATGCCAGTTGCTGGAAGGCTTCTGTGCTGGCTAGGGTTCGAGTCTCCTGGTGGGAAAGTGTTCTAAAGTTGTATATATATATATATATATATATATATATATATATAGACGTTATATATATATATATAGACGTTAATTTCATCAAGTCCCTGTTAATATGGGAAGACACAGTGTCTATGCTTAAGGCACAACTCTCCTAAACACGAGAGTTAAGTATACAACCATATATATGTATACAACCATATATAAATATATATATATACATATATATATTTATATATGTATATATATATATATATAAATATATATATATATATATATATATATATATATATATATATATATATATATATATATATATATATATATATATATATATAGTGTATATATATGGGAGGGGAGGGGGGCGGGGCATAAGGGTATGTGGGGATAGGAGAAAAGAAGAGAGGTAGGATAAGGGTGGGGAGAGAGAGAGAGAGACTGTCCCGGGCACCGCCGGGTTCCCCTCCTAGAGTATGAGTGTGTTAAGCATGAGGAGCTAGACATATCCCCGGGTGTCAGTTCCTGGGGGTGAAGGTGAACCTGAGCGGCTGTGAGGGAGCGAACACCAGGCGACTCTCAAGCTCTATGTCTTCATACTTGTAATCAACAGTGAAGCGCTGCATCACCTGTATACAAATAACATTCATTAATCAAATGGTAATTATCTTATGGAAACTGACAGGAAAATGCGTTTTTTTTATCTTTGAGTCACTGTAAGAATGGTGCAAACCAAGTATAAAGCTTAGGCATTGCAGGAGTAAAACAAGCTTATTTATAGGATTTATATTAGCAAGAGAAAGTAGAAATGCAAATATTTATTACTAGTGCCATAGCCCAACCACCTGGACTGGACGGTAGAGAGGCGGCCTTCCTTCGTGCAGGTCCGCGTTTAATCCCCGACAGTCCACGTGGTAGCGCACCATTTCTTTCCTTCGCTCTATCCTAAATCCTTATCCTCATATCCCTTCCAAGTCCAATATTGTCGTAATGGCTTAGGTCTTTCTCTTGATAATTACCTTGCATTAATGGTAGCATAGTGAAGGGTTATATCAAGTGTGACTATATGACAGATCTTGAGTATAGGGCTATATATAGAGTGAGAGTTTCAGTATGACATCAGTAGACTCGCTTAAAAATATTGTTTCCTTGAATGTATATTTGCCTGCCTGTCATATATATAATATATATATATGCAGAATAACCACATGTGAAAAATAGAGAATGTTATTCTCTATTTTTCACATGTGGTTATTCTACATACTTGGATCAGTGTTTTTGTGATCATTGTTGCATATATATATGCGGAAAAACCATATTGAATAATGTGTGTTTTCACAATTGTTGTTGTTGCACACACACACACACACATATATGTATATATGTATGTGTGTGTGCACACACATATAGCGCTATATTCAAGACCTGTCATATAGTCACACTTGACATAAGCCTTCAACGATTTGCATTGATCATTTTGATAAATATCAAAATGATATTTTTGATCTTTTTATGTCGTTACTTATCTCTTGAATAATTATTAGAAAAATAACAAATATTTTACAATTAGAGTCATATGTGATGTGTTTACAGGAATGCTTACCCTGATGAGGAATGTGAACATTTCTTGTTCAGCAATGCGTCGACCGATACACATCCGGGTTCCAGCTCCGAACTGAAGGGTGGCGAAGGGGTTGATGGGCCCCAGAGGCTTGTTCCTCATCCAGCGCTCAGGAAGGAACTCCTTCGCCCGAGGGAATATCGACTCATCCCAGCCCATCGTCATGGTCATGATCATCACTGACCACTATGTGCAGGAAAGAATACTGTATATAAAAATCTTGAAGGACGGTAATACAAAATACACCAAATTAACTAAAACAGTATATATATTGGTCATTACCTGAATTTTTAGGTTAATTAATTCCAAGAAAACTCACCCCTTTAGGAATTAAGTATCCACCGAGGACAAGATCCTTATCCAGGGTTCTGCTCGTCCCCATCACTGTGGGAAGTACTCTGAAAAATAGCCACATACATACATCCAACTTCACAAGACTCATTACATGTAGCTAATTTCACCTTCATAATATCCCACCTTGTGCTCCTAACTCACACAGTATATTACAATATAGAATTGCAGCTTCATTGGTATAATTTATTGTATTAACTTATGTTGAGGTATTTATTATGTGAATTCAAATTCAGTTACAATGTACCTTTCCTTACATTTGTTGTTAATTTATGGACCTACCCGAAACGCTGTGTGTGTGTTAGTGGCTTTGCAAGAATGTACCACATAATTACCAATGAATGTACCTTTGCAACCCATTGTACCGTCTTGTATATAACTAAATAAATGAGTGTTGCATAAATGATATATTCTCTTTGGGGTTATACTCCTCAGGTCATACCTCATGGACTCTTTGAGGACAGCCTTGAGGTAGAAGAACTGAGCCAAGTGTTGCCGTGTGAGGGGTCCCCGATGGTCGCCGAGCACCGCGTCCACCTCCTCCTGCAGCCGTGCCTGCGCCTCCGGGTTCCTGGCCAGCTGGTACAGAGCGAAGGCCAGCGTGTGGGAGGTCTGCAACCACCCGAGGTAGACCACTCTTGTACAGTCTTATACCTGTATGTCTACAGTCTCATAAACTGCTAAGCTGGAATAGTGGTATACTGGCATACTAGTATGTTGGAATAGTGGTATACCGACAGTGATTCACTGGTATGCTGACATAGTGGTACATTGGTATACTTGAATACTGGTATGCTGACATAATGGTATACTTGAATACTGGTATGCTGACATAGTGGTACACTGGTATGTTGGCACTGTAGTACACAGGTATACTTAAACACTAGTATGCTGGCACAGTGATATGCTGTAATTTTTATATACTGATATGCTGGCCGAGGCATACCGCTATCAGGGACAGTAAGCCTCAGTCTTGTCGAGTTTGCCCTCACCAGGAGCGAGGCTGTCTGCCCCTCCAATGGAAAGGCGACAGTTCAGTGCCTACCAGCAGATACAAATTATCCACAGTTGGGACGGCAAGTTTTATGGTCTTCGGGAAAACTTTACAATTTGCATTTGGCCAAGAAACTTAAAATAAAAATGTCTGTTTAGAGTAATTTATAATAATCATGACTTTACACGAAAACTATTATGAAACTAGCTCACTACATATGTAAGTTGCTTAGCTTAGAAACTGTATTTGATACAGTATTTTCTTTTCGTTTGAAAAGATAGAAAAGCAAAAACAATTTACAAAATGGTCTCAAACTCATTACTTTGATAAATAGTCACGGTTGCGATGATGATGTATGTGCCAAAATTGTCCTAATTAACACCTTTTAATATAGAATAACAAGACGTATCATTCTATTAGGTAATATTAACAGTAAGGGGGATCAAATCTCGGTAATTATAGTGATCCTGTGTGATGGTGTGGTGTTGGGTCAACGGACAGTGTACACTTCACACTGTATGGGTTAATTATGTGTCTTGCTTCGTAAATACATACTATTTTCCATATGAAAACTTCCCTGTCTATTAATACCAAACCATTACATTTGTCTTTAGTGTAATTATTAAGCTAGATTGAAGAACCGTTTTGGTTCTAGTGAACAATGAAGATTTATACTTGTGCAATACAAATTATAAATATATTTTTAATAATTTATAAGCGTACTTTTGCAAAATAATAATGATTACATCATATATTTTTAAATATACCTAAAAGGTGAGGAAATAATTTTCGAAACATTGTGAAAATTATCTGATTTATCCTTACTTTGATTCTGTTTATTATTATAACTGGAAAGAAGGAGACTGCTGAATTTTGTCTATGCAAATATAATATATATACTTTGTGTTTTCCATGAAAAACGAGGAACAATATTGAGGTGTAGATTGTATTACAGTGACGCTCACCGTGTCGATGCCGGCGAAGAGCATGTCGAGAATGAGGGTGACGACGTCCTTACGGGTGAGTCCCGGCTTGAGGAGCAGCGCCTCCATCAGCGTCACCTCCTGGCCCTCACCAGCAGGCTTGGCCAGCAGCTCAGTCTCCGTCTCGCGTATGTTCCTGTCCGCAATTCTGTACAGCAACAATAACATTATCAATGTATTTTTCATTCACTATAACACATATGGCACAACAGAAATGCTATATCTAGATAATCTTGCTCATAATAGCATAGATATAAGGAAAATTACTTGATTAATGTTATCCATATCAAACCAGCTCTTCTGGGTCTTACAAAATGTATTCAATCTTTCAGCTTCTACAAACTAATATATTTCACTATTTGTTTTATTAACAATTATATCATTCTATCTGAATTTTGACCTTCCAGTATCCAACAGCATAACCACAAACGAATATATATAGCAAGAGGTGTACCCCACATCATCTATTGTAACATTTGTTTTCAGATCATCACCCTAGATTGACTATTCTATATATCGGAAATACCATCCTGCCCGGTGGGACTTTTAAACGCAAACGAATCGGTGTTCCTCCTTCTCGACGTGAAGACTTTGTTGCTTATGCGTCAGAGTGTTACAGCACTTATGATCCCTCCACAATCCAGATATTTAACGACGATCTAGTGTAGAACATTCAGATGTTCGCTGACCCTTTAGGTCAGCCCTCCCCCACCCCGCACCATTTAATGATCGGAACAATATGAAAAAGTAAGAAACACCACGACTATTACAATGACTCTAAACTGCGCACTTTGAAACGCATTGCCAGACGAGTTGGGTTTGAATATAGGAAAACCCGTACGCCAGCAGTGCTCAAGCTCTTTCAGAAAGCCCTAGCCAAGGCGAGGGAGCGCATACCAGAGCTCAGGCAAGATAACGGAAACTTTTGTTAACGGTCTCAACTCTCACATCCCTCTCAGCCAGGCATGGAAGGATATTAAAAGAATTAAAGACGATAAAATCGACCAAGTGTCACACCCTTATCCTCTACACAGAGCAAACGAGTTAGTCGATGCTTGGGCAACCACCTCTGTAACTAGCTTGTAACTTGCTTAGCTAAATGAATTGTTGGGTTCAGTCCCTGAGTCCTTTATGTGCCTCTGTAACCCTTTCCACTACCGCCCACAAGATGGGTATGGGGGTGCATAATAATTGAACTAAATTAACCCCGTTTCTCGGTGTATGTACACTGAGAATATACTTTAGCCCCGAGCTATACTTTAGCAGTCTCCGTGGTGTAGTGGTAAGACACTCGCCTGGCGTTCCGCGAGCGCTATGTCATGGGTTCGTATCCTGGCCGGGGAGGATTTACTGGGCGCAATTCCTTAACTGTAGCCTCTGTTTAACGCAACAGTAAAATGTGTACTTGGATGAAAAAACGATTCTTCGCGGCAGGGGATCGTATTCCAGGGACCATAGGATTAAGGACTTGCCCGAAACGCTACGCGTACTAGTGGCTGTACAAGAATGTAACAACTCTTGTATATATCACAAAAAAAAAGCTATGTTCAGGAATAAAGTATACTTGCAGCTTGGTCAGTAAGGTATTGTGTTACCCTTAATAAGCTTCCAGAGGTTGATAGGCCTCAAGCCCAACAATACAGCACAATTAAACTCTTACTCTAAGAACTCCTGGTGACTGTTCTTGAGCCTCTTGAAGGACGGGGTCGGGAACACCTTCCAAAGGTGAGCGCTGAATTCTGCGTCATTCAGAGAATGAAATAATACATTTACCAATTTGATCATCTTCATGGGTTCAGAGTCCTCTGCAATGTTTGGGTCCAGACACCCAAGCCGACGATTCAATGCCACAGAAGCAACAGCTGTATAATGACAGAAAAGGACAAATTATATTACAATAATTTGTAAAATAATATAACAAAACAATAATTTTTATTCTGGACAAAGCAAATTTCTCATCCGTCACAAATTTAATTATATTTTTCACGCTTAGGCATCCTGTTACTTCAGTGATTTATTTAAAAACATAAAAATTAACAAATACTTTGTAATTATTAAAAGTATGACATACGTACACTCAAGAGCAAACTTGTATAATTCATTCTGGAAATCACTCGGCATTTCTCCAAACTGGGACTGAAGTGATGAAATTCTGAGGGGAAAAACAAAACAGTCAAATATTTATCAAAAACAGCAATTGAAGTTGACACCGTGGTTCTTGTTCTGGCCTTGGAGCTCGCCTCTCTTGAGTACAACTGTAACTTGCTCAAGTTTTGTAGCTTTATAATATAATATATGCACAGAGCAATCACATTAATGTGATGTATCAGTGAGAAAATCAGTAGGAGCCGTGAGGGGGATTCGAACCTATATTCTGGTTCGCTTGGGAGTATCCAGAGCTTAGGTATGAATCCTCTTCACGGCTCCTACTGATTTTCTAATATAATATATACCAGTATCCGAGTGTCACGCCAGTGTGTCGTAAGCACCTAACTTGCTTTACAAATTTCCAGTAGAAGAATAACTATGCTTTCGTGTCACATTCTTACGGGATATTCATGCTCATGCCACCTCTTGGGTGGCTTAATCTTCATCAATCAATCGTGTCAAATTGTCACACATGGCCCACAACTGTGACCCCAGAATGGTGGACTCGTAAATATTGTTTCATGATCTGCACTGTTATAATACACCTCACTCGAAGTGCACAGATTATTAAAGCTCCGTGTCAGAATGATTGAACATGTATACAAGGTAAATAAAGAACAAATTCTATACCATTGGCTGGGGTAAGATGATCTAGGACACCTGTCCATGACCTTTCTCGTCTGTTCATGACCTGGCTCACCTGTCCATGAACTCCAAAGTAATTTGATCCATGACAGGCAGATAGTGCACCACCTCCTTGACCCTCATCATATTCGTCTGCACTCGGCTGCGGACTCTCCACCACTCCTCCCCATTCCTGCAAGTTGTATCACACTGCATTTTACCGTTAATAAGATAATAAATATTCAGAAATCACACTAACGTGATATATATAAATGAGAAAACCACTAGGGCTACACCTACACCTTACGCCCCAACTTCAGAAGTGTGTTTCTGAAGTTGGGGCGTAAGGTGTAGGATCACTTTGCCCTTCCACCCGATTGAAGCCTAGTAAGTAGTTCACTAAGGCTGTAACGAAAGCAGTAGAACATTATAGGTTTCACCGGAGGATTTCATAGTTTCGATCTGAGCAAGTTATTCTCACTTTGAGCATTATAAAAGACGACTTAGCACACGTATTTATAATCATTAGAGATCATGACAATTTTTATTCAAAAATACTTTAAATTTTGTATGGTCTAATATCACCCAAAATATTGGTCTTATAATTGAAGACAAATATTTTTAAGTAACTAAAACAAAGTACTTTTTTAATTCGAAGAGTAAACATATGAAACAGCTTAACAAACTATATAATTCAGTGTAATACCGTGTATGTATTAATCAATGAAATTTATAAGTATATCTCCTCTAGCCCATGCTTTAAACTGTTTGCACATAATACAAACTTTTCATAAACAAACAGCCTAGGGGTGGATCTAGTGGTCTGTAGCTATTTGAATTAGTTTGTAGTCCTTTAGAAGAGTCTTGAACCATTACATTGTCACTGATGGCTGAGAGGCGGGGACCAGGAGCTGATACGTATAGTCCAAGAACATATTGACAAAAACACATCACTAATAAATGCAAACTTACTCAGTCAATATTCCAGTTTTATTCTCGAAGTAGTTGTTGACAGCCTCCTCCCTGATCTTCTGGAAGGAAGTGAAGCCGTCCCTAATAGGGTTGTCCATGGTGGCTCGTATCACAGTCTCCACGTCGTCAGGGCGGGACACTAGCACCATCGGGGGCATAAATGGCTGCGATAATTTAACAATGGGGCCATACTTCTCAACCATCTTTTGGAAGTAGATGTGAATCTTTCTCTTAGAGAAGGCTGTGAAAAAAGATAATGATATGTATTAATTATTTCAAGTTAATAATGCAAATAAAATATAAATACCAAGATATGTTTTCGCATTTAAAATTGTGTCAGCTCGAAAAAGATGTACACATAATAGCTAGAATTAGTGACAGCAACGTACATTTGTCTAGTAGCATGGAGGGAGAAGTCCCCACAAAAGGGTAACTTGGTGGTCCTGGTACTGCAGAGAGCGGTTTTACTGCTGACGTCTGCTCTGCTGCTGCTGTTACTTGGTGAGATGTGACTGTGACTGAGAGGGCACGTGACCAGGGAGGCGCTGGGCGCCACACAGCCCGCACCAGCCCCAGCCTCACTACGCCTAACATGACCTGTGGCAAGAAAGTAAGTTGAACATCACGTAGCATGGGCAGGCAAGGGTAAAATCGCTACCACATTATACATATTCAGCCATGTATAAAACTCGGTGACAAACAGGCTTAGTCATATATAAAATGATATATATATATATATATATATATATATATATATATATATATATATATATATATATATATATATATATATATATATATATATATATATATAATTCATTTTAAAATGTTTAATTGAAAAAAGTTAAATTTTTTGTTTCTTTAAAATGTTTCATTGTATATAACTGCATATTCTGTATTGATTATTTTCTTGTTTCGGGCTTCTATCCGTCTAACTAGTGCTCTAGCATTTTGGTTTAATTGGAAGAGGAGCTCCAAAGGACATCTTCGTTCGAGGTGAAGAAAAAGAAATAAATAACTGTAGAATGTATTACACTTATCATAAAATTTACACAACGTTTCGAACCTACATCCCTACAATAAATAGGGAGTACCACCTCTGGCTGGAAGAGGTGGTATATCCCCCCTTAACCTCGGAGGAAATCACACATAACGCATTATACATTATATATGTATAATATACATATATAATATATACATGCTGCCTGTCCCCGGCAAAACAAATTATTAAATAAACTAAGCTAATTTAATTGGTTGGGGTGTGTGGGGGAATAGTTACATACTGTGGGTGTGTACCCAGAGGGATGATTGGGTAGCGTTAACATAAAATAATTCATTGTGTCTGGAGACAGTCAGCCAGTGTTAGGTTTATATCGAAGTCGTCCCCATGGTCGAATTACTGACCCCGCCCAGGTAGCAACCCCACAACAAGCTGACTAACTCCTGCTGGGTACCTACTTCATTACTGCTAGGTGGACAGGGGTATTAGGACACGAACCCAACCAATTCTGACCCGCCTAGGATTCGTAACCGGAATTCTTAATTGTGAATCGAGAACGAATCCGGCTTTTATTCTTATTAAATATGCAATATACATACAGCATGAACAACATTCATGCTGTATGTATATTACAGTTTAGTATGTATATTAAAGTTTTATGCTATAAATGTTTCATTTATAGCATGAAACATGGATGGTTTAGACCTATCTATTACAATTATCCTTTAAATTTGAGCTTAACTCTACTGTGAAAATCATTGATAACAACGCAAAATAATTTACACAGCTCTGTATAACAGTACAATTATGTATCTTATGTACAACTTTAATGTTTATATCCACTTCACATCAGCAAAAAATAATACATTTTTTTATGCCTGAAATCATTTAGATTTTCCATGCCATTATAGGCTATAGTTTTGTACTTACGTACAAGAGAGTGTTGTTGGTGACAAAAATGTAGTAGTGGTCCCGTCGCCAGCAGCCACTATACTGGAGATGGCATATACTGTAATGACCTTGAGGCTGGACCAGGGGCCTCCAGGGGTACCAGTTAGCACCAAACTTTGTAATTACCAACTACCACGAGAAAGAGGACCAGGAGTACACTGAGAAATTATTTAAAAATAAAATGATTATTGATTTGCAGGTAAAGTAACAAAACTCTTGGTAACAATATTAAAAAAAATTGACTGGGAAGAAAGTCGCAAACTCACAATGACATGAACAACCGCTAGTATTATAGTGACGTTGTATCTAACCTTCCGTGGTGTGTGGGGTGGCTGTTGCAGCTATATATAGTGTGACACAACACTGCTTCACACCAGCCGCAAGATTATATATATATATATATATATATATATATATATATATATATATATATATATATATATATATATATATATATATATATATATATATATATATATATATATATATATATATATATATATATATATATATATTATATATATATATTATATATATATATACATGTGCAAATGTCTGATACAGATACCAGTATTAGTGTGTGCTCAGGGTTTCTCTGATTTGAGATATATATATATCTGATATATATATATATATATATATATATATATATATATATATATATATATATATATATATATATATATATATATATATATATATATATATTTGTACCTAGTAGCCAGAACGCAGTACTCGGCCTACTATGCAAAGCCCGATATGCCTAATAAGCCACGTTTTCTTGAATTTATGTCTTTAGAATTTTGTTCTTATGAAATGATAAAGCTATCCATTTCATTATGTATGAGTTAAGTTCTTTTAATTTGAGTTACAACTAAAGTAGATATATTACCGAACCTAACCAACCCTACCTAACCTAACCTATGTTAACCTAAACTAAACTAACATAAGTAAATTAATAATTTATGTTCTTAATAAATTATAATAATATTTCAAATAAACCAATTGAAAACAATATTTTGAAAATAAAGAAAATCACTCGGCCTATTAGGCAAATCGGGCCTTGCATGGGTGTGTGCCCAAGATGCGGCAAGCATTTCCTCTCTGGATCGTGATACTGAGGCGCTGGAACAGGAAATTGGCTGCTCTTGAGTCTCTTGTTTGCCTAATGAGTTCCTCACCCACCTCCTTTAGGAACTTAAGTGCACATTTACCCCAGGTGACCAAGGTCTCAGCCTATCGGCACGAACCTGTAACAACGTTCTAGGTCCCTGTACTTGTTTAGTTTTTTTGGTCTCTCTGAAGGTGTATATCATAAGCATAGCTAATGATGTGCACGTTGGGTTTGCTCGGTACAGAGTTTAAGAGTGTGTTTATTAAGATATTAAATGCGGTAGGACTGAGGATACCTCCCTGTGGGGTGCCTAGTTCGAAGTCTCTTGTTACACTCCTATGCGCAAATGCAGTCATCAGTAATACAATCCTAACCGGAGAAGTTTATGTGCCTCCATATCCCTTTCCACTACAACCAACAAGATGGATGTCGGGTGCATAATAAATTAGCTAAACTAACCTCACCAGGGGGGGGGGGTGGCTTTACCTTTATTCAGGGTCAAGAGTAACTCAAACTCAGTAAATAACGCGTTGCATTCATCTTCCTTGTGGGACATGAAGTGAACGAGCCTTTTCCTATCGCCATAACCAGCATTTGGTCTTTAATTCAAACTCAAAATCAAATTCAAATGTTTGTTCAGGTAAAGTACATACATACAAGGTGTGATACAAATATTGATGTATTTATAGATAGAGCTAGTACATACAATGCCTAAAGCCACTATTACGCACAGCGTTTCGGGCAGGAAAAACACTAAAGACTAAAACTTAAAACTAATTGAGATTAGAGTATAAAATGTGTCGAGAAAATATAAAAAAAAGGGGGGAACATGGCAGAAAACAGAAAAAAATACAATTTGGTCGACAAACAGCATTGTTTAAAAATAGCAGACATGGGTTGACATTATAGGGGTAAGGTAGATAGATTACAGGGAATTAATTAGGTAGTGCTTAGTTCTTATCTTAAACTGGTTGAGAGAGGTACAGTCTGTTATGATCTCAGCCTACAGGAGAAACGAGTCTCCCTCCTTGAGAGTTATTCATCAAGCCTGACCTGATTAGAAGGTCTGATTAGAAAGCAAATATTGAGGTGATAACCCATATGTAAAATAGTTGCTTGGATATGTATAACAGTTTGAGATTATGGGCAATGAAGAAGAAAACAGATAAATGACTGGCTAGGAGATGTGGACATTTTGCTGGAGGCGTGAGGCTCGCTTTCGGAGGACCTTGACCTCACTTGAGTGCCAGACATCGCAGGGGAAAGCCGCGCTCCATTTGAGCTCCCGTCAGAAGGGAACCCCTGGTGATATATCTCGAAGAGAAGAGAAGTGTGTAGACGTGCCAGCTGTGGAACCGAGCTGGGAACGTTGTGGTCTCAAGTCCTGGTCAACGAGCAGAGTTTAATAAGCTGCTCAGAGGCATTTTCGTGGGCTGTGTGGAGCGCCCTGACCAGACGCCGTCAGAGGGAGAGCGCCCTCGACCAGTTAATCTGTGGTAAGCACGATATACGCCAGTTCATAGTGATTGCTTGTAGTTGGTCGTGTGCCCAGCGACAGTAGCAATGTTTATTTATAAGTTAGACATGTTTTAATAAGGCAGAAAGCCTGAAATAGGAGAGTGAAGAGGGAGGAACACGGAGCGACGTCCGTCCCCTCTGAGCTCTGACAGACGACTGAGGGAGCCCGGCTCCTGACGGAGGAAGACCCTCCCAGCGAGTGAGGACCGCCGCCGGGCGAGGTGGAGTATGGACCCGCCCAAAACGGGGGAGTCCACTCTCACTGTATGTAGAGGACAGATAGAGGCAGACAGATTTGAGGCAAACATATTGTGTGGTTATTTTTGTTTATGTGTTAAAGGGGAAACATTTTATTGGAGTGTCGATGGGTTGCAGGTTTGTTCTTTGGGGAAGAAGTTGCTGAGAACTTCGAAGCCAGCAGATGAAGTAGCTGATGAGACTCCAAGGTAAGGAAGCAGAGGACCTCGAGCTGGGAGGAGAAGCAGTGAAGAGGAGTGTCACATGCTTCTGTAGAGGTGGTGAAGCACCATAGTTGCTCGAGGAAACTTCATGGTGTAGCAGCCAAGAGAGCTGTGGAGGAACCTAGCAGAAGGGTGAAGCACCGTAGTTACTCAAGGAAACTTCATGATAGCAGCCTGGAGAAGCTGCAGAGGATCCTGGTAGTGAAGCCTGGAAGAACCTGAAGATATCAGGGTAGTGAACTTCCAGAGGTGGAAGGGAAGTTCTGGTGGATTACTTGTAGGGAGTTGATAGTGTTTGGTTGTCATTAGCGTGCAAGACGCAGTGAGAGGTGAGTGACTGTTTGCATTCTTATGTCAAGGAGTGTTTTATACTGAAGTTTAGAGTTACAATCGTAGGCTGGATTACCTACAGATATATGCGTTCTAGGACTGATAGAGTGATCGATTGATCATTGTTGTGTATCAATGAACATTTATACTGATATGTTATTGCATTCAAATGCTGATTTTCTTGGTACACATTTATAGATACATATATATATATATATTCCCTTGCTGATGGTGCAACAGTGTATGTAGACTTGATCAACTTGAGGAGGTTGATAGTATCAGGTGGTGAACCAGGAGATAGGATACCACTTGATAAGCTGATGGTAGAGTTCTGGTTGTGTTGGAGAGCAACCTGATTGTAATATTATAGAGTATAGGATTCATTATTATTATATGTGTGTATGTATTGTGTATGTGCTTCGTCCAGTAAATGTATCCCAATTTGCTGGTGTTTGCCCTTGTCCTAGTGAGGCTTCCCAGGAAATAGTACAGAAGAAGAGAGAGAGAGGGAAAGAACCAAGAACCACTGCTGTGGACAGGGCAGAAGGTAATATTAGTAAGTCATAGGGGATTGAGGAGATCATATCTCATAAGGAGAGAGTGGGGAGTCACAGCGGCTCGAGTGGGTGTGTGCACGTGACAACGAGGCTAAGTGTTGGAGCCGCATCCCCTAAACGTGTAACGTTGAGCCCCTCTCCAAGAGCCAGAAGCGCCAAGGGTGATCTCCTAGTAACGACGACAACACCAACCAACCACAAGTCTATAATAAGTCTTTAACATAATTGGGAAGGTCATTCCACATTCTTGGTCTCTTGATTTGTAGAGCATTTCTAGTTTGATTAAGTCGTACTCTTGGAATATCAAAAAGGTATTTGTTTCTGGTGTGGTGCTCATGGGTTCTGTTACAACCTTCAACCTTTAATTGTGTGTCGGGGGGGGGGGGAGATTATTAAAGCTTGAGGTGGTTGCCCAAGCATCGACTATCTCGTTTGCTATGTGCGTAGAGAGTGGGGGTGTGACACTTGACCAATCTTATCGCCTTTGTCTACACTTTGTAATCTTTTATATAGAGTAGGGTAGTAGTAATTTGCTGTGTATTTAATAATAATAAAAAAATCTTTCAATATCCTTAAATGCTTGGCTGGGTGGGATGTGAGAGTTGAGACTGCTAACGTAAGTTCTAGTGCTACCCAATCCCCCAGTATGTAACTTCACCATTGTAATCATTGCTATCTTATATCATGATTGTTATAATGAACGCATGTTTTACTGCATTATACCTTTAAGTAATTCTCAAATTATGCTACAATGTACCTGTTGATAACACTCAAATTTTACTTTAATGTACCTACTAATCTCTGTCAAATTTTCGTACAATGTACCTGTTAAAATGTTTTACATTTTGCTAGAAATTACCTACTTAAAATTATCTGTTAGATTAAGGACCTGCTGAAACGCTTTGCGTGTTAGTGGCTTTACAAGAATGTAAAAACATAAATGCTATGCACTCTCATAAACCTAATGTATCTTCTTTTATAAATAAATAAATAAATAAAATAAATTTAAATGGCGTAGATCTGTCTATGGTGTCTATTAATCTTGTTTAAATTACCAATCAAGCTGTCAATGTAATCAATCAGAGCTTTAATATACCAATGTGCTCTAATATACTTACTAATCTCTCTCATCTCATTTTTTTTCTTGCAAATGTATTTGTTATCATTTTATTAATTCTGCTAGAATTTACCTACTTAAAATTATCTGTTAGATTAAGGACCTGCCCAAAACGCTGCGCGTACTAGTGTCTTTACAAGATTGTAAATACTATGCTATGTATTTTCACAAACCCAATGTACCTTCTTGTATATAAATAAATAAATAAATAAA